TGAATAATAATTCATGTTTAGGTTCTGTTGCTGCTATCACTGCTTTCTGCCAGCAGGTGTCACTGTTTCCACAGTTTTCTCCCAGACTGATCGATCTGAAGAGATTATTTCTGTGTCAGGAAACACAAAGAAAGATAGATGATGCCAGCTCTTTTATTTGTTCTTCTGTTTTTATATTTCATGTTCAAGTTTAATGTCTCTTTTTGTAATCACTGCCCCCTAGTGGGGCTTCTGTTTATCAAATATCACAGTCGGGTGTTTTGGATTTTATTAAGGCTCTACATTAATCTTCTTTGAAATTAAAGTTTATTTCACACAAACATGAAGTTTTGTGGTTGTGTTTTCAGATATTATGTCTTTGTTAGATCATCTGGCACCAAGTCTGCAACCAGAAAGAAACTAGAGCATTGCTCTTGTCTACAATCTGACTCCCGCTACAGAGAACCTGCTCGACTCAGATCAACCTTCAACAGATTGAACAGCTGACCTTAACTTTGCATCGATCACCAAAAGACTGATCCTAAGCAAGAGGCTTTTATCTGGGCTGAGATACCTTAAGGAAGTGCAAACAAACAGCTTTAAGTCTGATCGGAAGTGACCAGAGACAGAGCACGCCTCCATTTGTTTAAATACAGAGATTTATTAAATATTAACAATAATTTAAGATTGATTGATTTGTCCGACAACACAGCAGCTTCATGTGCAACATGAAATTTAAAGAGACAATACAAAGACAGAAACATGAGACACGTGATTTTAAACAGGATCTGTGATTCAACTTTCACTTTAGGATTAACGGGTGAACAAAAGAGTTCTTCAGTCCGACCTCATTAAATCATACAGCTCTGTATCCTATATCCTGCTGACATTGTTGAAAATACACTTTATCTTTACTCCGAGACAACGTGAACCTCCTCTCAATAAAACACTGTTCAAAGACAGAAGCAGCGACCACTCAAACTCATCTCCAACATATCTGATACACGTCATGTGATTTACAGAATCAGACACTGAAAGTGTTTCCACAGACGATCGTACGACTTCTCTCTGGAGACTTCTCCTGTGAACTGTCAGGTCACCAGCAACTCTGAATGCAGACGCTTTTCAACCTGTGTGAATTCTCACGTGCTTATTCAAAGAGCTTGTCTTGCTGAATGATGGTTTTTCACCTGTTTGAGTTCTTCTGTGATGTTTCAGGTTTGTCCTCTGAAAGAATCTTTTCCCCACATGTGGTGTAGGAGCATGTCTTCTCACATGGACTGTGAACCTCTCTTTGATTTAAAGATGTGTCGTGCAGGTAAACCGCTGTCCAGCTGTGTGCGTCCTGTTGTGATGATTCAAGTTTGATCATCGAAAGAATCTTTTCCCACAGGAGCCGCAGGAGTGTGGTATCTCACCTGTGTGGGCACTTCTCGTGTTTTTTCTCAGATCACAACTAAATCTGTAGGTTCTTCCAAATGTTCTGCAAGTAAACGGCCTTTCGTCTGTAGGAGTTATAGAGTGAACTTTCAAATGAGAGGAATGAGAGAATCTTTTCCCACAGGTGCTGCAGGAGTAAGTCTTCTCTTGTATGAATCGTTAGTTCTGACTTGAAACTCAATACTTTCCCACAATTCTTGCAAGTATGCGTCTCCTGACCTGAGTGCACGACACGCTGATGTGTCAGTAATTCTGATTCATGCTCAAAAGCTTCTCCACGTGTTACATTTGAAAGACGTTTGACTTTGGTGAGAATTAGAATAAGTCTCTGATGTTTTAGTGTTTTTTCTTGTTGATTCTGAGTCTCTGAGCTCGCTGCCTTGGGATCTTGATTCTCAGCATCCTGAGAGTTGTGAGAAAGGAGCTGGTGTTTATTTAGTAGTTGTTCTTCACTGTGGTCTCTCCTCATGAGTAAGAGTCATCATGGATGTGTCAGTCTCCTGCTTCAGTACGAGCTACTCTCCCTCCTTACTGCTGCAGAGTCCCTCCTGCTCCTCTTTAACCTGTGGAGGCTCTGGATCCTCTTGGTAAAAACTACAAAAATGTCTTCCGCAGCAGCCGTTAGTTGCTGGTTGATAAACTCTCTCAGACTCTCAGCTGAACACATTGTTGTTGTTTTATTAAACTTTAAAAAAGATGAACTAGGACAACAGACAAGTCTGAGAGGAGATGTAGCTGCGTTCACAGTAAGTCTCATGGAGAAGGAGTGGAAATAATTAAATAACTTTAAACTTCTTCTCCCTCCTTTTTGGATCAAATCAATAAAAATACAATTCACACGGCGACCTGTAAAATGGAAATAGAAAGAATTAAAAAACTTCTTTTGTCTGACATCTTTCATTCGTACAAATTCCTTTTTTTTCTGTCTGCTTATAATTATTAAGCAATTGAATCATTTACTATTTGCATGTATTTTTAAGCATTTCTCAGTTTTGTTCTACTTTATTTGTTTATTTTGTCTGTTTTATCTCCCTTCGATTGTTTCTGTCTTTTTGATGATGTATTTTTTACTAAGGACTAACTCGTAAATGTTAAGACCGTAAATATGTTTAACATTGGCGTCACTTTGGTTTATTTATTATCAGTTTGTTATTTGTTAATTACGATGAGGATTAGGGCCACATTAAAAAACTTTTTTTTTTTTAATTTCGAGATTAAAGTCGTAAATTTACGAGATTAAACTTCGAGACCAGCCTGCGCAAAATGATGAATGTAGAACTCTTAAAGTATTTTCCTCTGCAGACAACTTCCTCCAAGTCAGTGTGCTTCTTTCTTCAGTATCTTTTCAGGGTGCTGATATTTTAAAGACAATGTGAAGTTGATGATGTGCCAAAAGCATGTGTAGTTTCATATCTGCATAAGGAAAGCTCCAACACAACTATTTGTGTCTGTTATCGGTCTGCTTGTTAAAGTGTCTCATGTGCAGAGACAGTTTGTGTCCTGTTCATCATTTTACAGACAAACAAGGTCTTCCAAGTTGAAGTGAAAACTTCTCTTGAACTGTTTTTACCGACTACACAAGGAAGTATCCTATTTCCTTATTAGTGAAACCTTTAGTGAAACCTTTAGGATGCTGCTGCTCTTCTGATAGAGACTGAAATAACCACTTTATTCTTTTATTCTTTAAAGACTGTAGGAGTTCTACTTTCATCATTTTCGCGCAGGCTGGTCTTGAACTCGTCAATTTACGAGATTAAACTCGTAAATGGACGACTTTATTCTCGAAATTTGATCTTTTTTTTTTTTAACCTGGCCCTAAAACTCCGTCGTAAAGAACTGACATTAATTCATGATGCGTTCTGTCATGACACAGGGCTAATTGTTATTTGAATACTGATAGAACTGTAACCTTAAATGTCCATTGCTGTCAGTCTTTTCAATCTTTTACTTGGCGCTTTGCATTGTGGGAAACAGTCAGCGAGAAGACTGGTCTGATGATCCACTGAATTTTTTGCCAGAGAAATCAGTACGTACTCAAGTATAGTAGATGTTTCAAACACAGCCTGAGAATTTGTTGAACCTTCTTTCTGGTACAGGCCCCTACAGATAGCAAACAGGAAGAGATGAGAGGACCAAAGTGAAGAAGCAGCAGGATGGTTTGATAACTCTGATCAAAACAGGATAACCATTTTATCAGCAACAACGATACTCCAGTTTGAACCACTGGAGGAGGAGAGACTGGGATCTGCCTGTATCTGGAAAAAAAAAAAACAGCAGTTCCACACTTACAAATTGTTACACTAGTGTTCATTGATTGATTGGACTTTGTCAGAAAAAGTCTGAGTCCCTGCAGACCAAAGCTTGGAATTTTCCACATCCCTAGATACATGGAAAGAAATGTCAATCTCAATGTTTGTAAAGTAGTTCGCACAAGTGTCTCGGAAGGTGGTAGAAAGGCAACTCAGCAGATGAAGATTTTCCAAGAGGTGAGTATTTTACAGTGATTCAACCAACACATGTTAACTTAACAAAATTTCCAGTCCTCAATGATTCTGTCTCTGATGTCTTTAGGGACAAGTGGATTGTTCCACAGGGGTGTGCTCTTTACCAAGGTGTTCTGAGACCCTATAAGTTTAAATGTTTCTTTCCAGCACTTAAATGTGTGATTTATGACCTGGTTTGTAGTAACAGCTTTGAGGTTTTTGACGGTTTCAATAAAAGGTATTAAATATAATGGGGTAGGATGCGTTATATGCTTTTCCAATTTGGTCCATCCAGGGGTGGATGCTTTCTCACTGTTAAACCAGCTCCAGATGTTGCGAGATTGGCTGGCCAGGTAATATAACCTGAAATTAAGTAGGTTCAAACCTCCTTTGTTTAATGGAGCTTGCAATGATGATAACTTAATCCTGGCACGTTTTTGAGACCACAGAAAACTAGTAATTAATTTGTTCAATGAGATAAAAAAAAAAACTTGATGGACAATTGATTGGGATTGACTGGAACAGATAAATAACTTTCGGCAAGACAGTCATCTTGACGATGTTAACGCTGCTGATTAATGAGATGGGTAAATCCTTCCATTTATTTAAGTCCATTTTAATCTTTTCAAGAATAGGCAAGTCGTTTTTTTGGTATATTTGATTCAGGTCGTTGGGTATTTTGATGTTGACATTATGATGCATTTTGGAAATAAAGTGTCAGAATTTAAAAATAAACATGATATAGCCTAAGCATTTGCAGGCTTGATTTTAAAGCAGAGGAAATGTTATTTAGGGTTTTTATAACTGGTCTGATACCTGGTGTTTGTGGCGGATCACGGTTGGACATCTTGTCTTTCTATTTGCCCCGGTCTGCTGTGGTCCAACACATAATGTCTTCAAAGTTATGGTTGCCTAATCGACATCTGTAGTACTACACACCTATTTAAAGAGCATCTAACCAAAGAGACAAGCGCCATCTGGTGGCTGTTTAAAGAAAACGTTTTCACTTGCAGAATATTTTTTCCCTCTGATGCCTGTAAGAGTTGTTGCGGGTGGAGTCTTGATTTGCTTGTAGAAACTTGACTTGCAGAGATGCCTCACTGTTGTTCAAGCTGAGTCAGTGAGAGGCTGAGACAACCATGGCTGCACGGTTTGTGTTTTTATTATTGATCTGATAATGATGTCAACCCTGGAGACAAGTTCAGTTGACATTGATAGAGAATAGAGCAGATTATTTTAAAACAATTACCTTTTTATTCCTATTTTATTTTTATTGAAAATGTGTCAAATGTGTGGTTCACAGGTTCTGTGGAGTTGTTTTCTTCCTTACATTGTTCCCCACTGGACTAAATGCAGCAAGGTACAGTAGCTAATAAGATCTTTTGTTTTGACTTATTGTGTTTTGTCAGTTTCTGCATCTCTCCTGTCTGACTGTGTATCACAGACCAGCTGTAAACCAGGAGCTTTCCACTCTTTTTAACGAGCTGTGGACGCTGGATGTGAACAGAATGACACCTGCTGTTGACTACACAATCTCTACTCAGGTATGGACGCTATAGCCACATTCAGGCAACACTTAACCTCTGTCACTACAACGATTATGTTCTGTGTTTGAACCTTACAGGGTCGAGCAGGTTTTGTAAACCAGGGAAACCATGTTGTTCAGGATCACGCCTCACTGCCTCTGTTCTCCAGCGTTAATGAAACCAAACTGAACAACATAAACACTTTCTCCAGTAAGTGCTCATTTTTTTGTAAATGAGCCTGAAGGCTGACTTCTCCTTTTAAAAATGTGATTTATGCTTCTGCAGGGTTCACAAAACTTCTGGACAACTATGAGCACTCCACTGGCACGGCTGAACGTGTTACAGCTGAGGAGCGGACGGAGATTAATCTATTCCTGGATGCCGTCTTAGAGACAGAAGTCATGAAGGTACATCTGACATGTTACAGCCTGCACCTTACAAAAGACTTCAGCAGTTAACTTACTAGTTTCTATGCACCACTCTTCATGTCTTCTACCTGGTTTATGCCAGTATTTTCAATATCAGAATCATTTAAATATAAAAAAGTACATTACTGGTTGTTTAGCTTCCCTCCCTAGTTGTTTCCTGTTTACATTTTGTGGGTTTAAGACCGCGGCTGAACTCTAAAAGGGACTTTTGTCTGTTCTTGCCTCACTGCTCGATGAACACGTTACCTCACAATTATATAATGGGGGGCAAAAAAGGGAAAACATCTGTGTGCAGCTGAGGAATGCTGTGTTGGCTTCTGTGGTTTCCCCCAAGGAGGATGTGTTGAGAAATGTGGACTGGGAGTATTTGTTGTGTTTGGAAGAAAGACATGATTTAGTCAGTTAGACGGACCATTTAAATACCAAAGTTTTAGCCCTCAAAAAACAAATGTGAAGGTATCATACTATACAAAATACAATAAAAGTCCATCCTCTTTATCTTCTGTCTGCTCCACTTTTCATAAAATCTGGTAACCCTTTGTTCTGCCCTCTGAGTCAGCCTTCTCACTGTAAACAATACAGCATGGTGCAGGAAAGTCAGAGCAACCCAAGCCCTCCCAGAGAGGGGGCGGGGTCAGACGGCTAAAGGCCCTGACACACCAAAGAGATGGGCGGTCAGTGAGAGGGATCTCTCTGATTGGCTCTTAGGAGGTTTCAATTTACTCCAGCTTTCAACACTGGTTCGGGAAAGCCCCTTGAGCATGCCGCTGTAGTATCCATGCTTTCACCCATTAGTGCGGTTTCTCCTGATTTGTCGCCTCTGCCTCTTCTTTTCTTTTTCCATTAAAAGACCAAGGGCAGACAACGGCAACACCATTTTCTACTTTTTATTTATTTATTTGTTTGTTTGTTTATCTAACAGGACATACAGTGACATTGGTGCTGTAACATATAACCATGCACAAGTTCCAGATGCACTGCTCTTCTGCAGCAGCAGCAGAATGTGGCTAAGCAGCAGGCTGTGCAGTTCGATTTGTGAAAAAGTCGTAATACTGGCATGTTGAAATAGGCAGCGTAATGAAGATCACAGAAAATATTTACATAGAGCAGTTCAGGCTGGCACTGTCATGATACCTGTGACATTTGGAGCAAACTGAGCATTGTGTAGTACTTATTCCTTGCAGTAGGAGGCGCTATCCTTCCAGTTACTGCCATCAGGCAGACGCTACAAAGTTCTTCTGGCCCAGAAAAACATCTACAAAAAGTCTTTTATTCCCTCTGCAATAACTATTCTGAACAAAATCAAATAGACCCCCCCCTTTAGAAGCTGTTGTTTTTAAGTCCTCTTTTAATGTACTACACTTTCTGTTTTTAATGTAAGTTGTGTTTATTGTTCGAGCCTTGTCAAAGGAGAATTTCTGTCTCTGGTTAAAGTTGACTATTGCTATGTCAGTGTGTTCGGAGGCCAACCCTGATCATACCTGTGTAATTTGAGGCAGATCAGACAAAGTATATGAGAGTTACAGCCACTTCCTGTTTGATTTATTTACAGATAAATACTTTCATTTTTTGCGTCATTATTAGATTCACATGGTATAATTGGTGTGAAGTCACAGACGTGTTCTAATAAGTTAAAAATAATAATATTTATACTAATATTTATATGTGTGGTTGATTTATTCTATTTTGAGAGAGAGTCTGGTTTGTAGCAATGTGCATATTTCTAGCTGTATGTCCTCCACAGCGGGCTCATAGGTACCTGGTGAGCAAAGGAAAGTCCAGCTCCATCCTGAGGTTGTTTAAGAGTCAGCTGCACCTGATCTGGTTCCAGCTCTACCGCAGACAAAGAAACGCAGAGTGAGACACCCAAACATCCTCATATGTTCTATTTGTTGAATTGTTTTTATACATATAAGTGAGTATAGTCAACCACAATTTTATGTAAAATGTTTATTGAAGGTGTTATGAAGTTATATTTTGTGTCTTTTATTTTCTTTCATTAAAACATTCACCAGCCTGGACTCCAGTGGATTCGAGCATGTCTTTGTCGGAGAGACAAAATCTGGAACAGAAATTGTTGGTTTTCACAACTGGGTCCAGTTCTACCTGCAAGAAAAAAACAGCAACTTGGACTACAAGGGATACAAGGCCAGGGATCATGACTTAGTATGTACAACAATCGAGGATGAATGTCTTTCTATAAGAAGTTAAACCGTTTATTTTATTCTCCATGGGTTGTGTCTCCAATTATTCTTCTAAATCAACATTTGATGTAATTCTGTCTGCAGCCCGATCAAGACGACCACGTCCTGAACCTCCAGTTCAGCTGGCACGGTTTGGTGAAGCCCGTTGGCAGCGCCTTTATCGGGACTAGCCCTGAGTTCGAAATGGCCCTCTTCACCGTCGTCTTCCTCATGAACACAGAGAGGAGCACCACCGTGCTGGTCAACATCGACCAGTGTCAGATTGAGCTTGTGGTCATCAGACATGGACGCTCCCTTGGGACGGCATACCCCAAACTGCACAGCAGCAACAGCCGGCATATTAGACAGAACTCACACTGAAGGGCAGAACCCTGTGATGCAAAGTTATGCTCCCATATATCAATATATCCATGACTCTGTAGATGTTTGGTTTAAAATGCACTAAGGGGGTTTTAAGTAATTATTATTATGCTTTTTGTAACATAACAATGAGTAAGGTCTTTTACCTGCTTTTCGTAAAGTGCCTCGAGATAGCACTTGTTATGAGTTGACGCTATACAAATAAAAATTGATTGATTGATTGATTGATTGTTTTCTTTCCACTTAACTTTGAAGATAAACATCTCCTATCACTAATAATATTTTAGCCATAACAACATTTATCCTCGTAAAAACTGTATTTTCAAGAGTGAGAATTGTAATCAAACACACGCACACACATGTATATATATTTTATTTCCTACTCCCCATGGATCTCTTCTCCTGATCCAGAGCCATCTCGAGGCTTTCTCTGCTTCCTTCAAGAACATCACCGAGGAAGCAGAGAAAGCCTCGAGATGGCTCTGGATCAGGAGAGGAGATCCATGGGGAGTAGTAAATGCCACCTGAACGCCTGGGCGAGGGTGTGTGATGTGTTCAGGAGCATCCACGAGATGTATTCTATCAACAAAAAAAGTATATATATATTATAACCTTCCACAGCGACATTTCATTGAAGGACAAATGTGACACGTTTGCCATTCACTGAATTGGGCTTTATCTACAACATCATTCTTCTTATTCATAATGAGCATTCAGTAAATCTGTGCATTAGTTCTTCCTAGGAAAAACTACCTTTTCAGATGTCTATTATATATATATTTTTATGGATATGCAAAATTACATTATGTAAATATGTAATACTTTATTCATTTGGATATCTAAAACAACAATCGAGGAAGAAGATGGTGGAAGAATGTTATTTTGGAGATCTGATATGCTCCCTCTGACGGGGAGGAATTGCACTTTAGCTTTTTGTAAACATACACTGTAAACAATAAGCATAGACTGTAAAATATTAATAAGATTAGAAGTGGAACTCCACACGAACATTGCGTGTGGGTCTGCCAGCACGGACGTTTTATAGTGGAACACACGAGTGGAACGCGTGTTGTGGCGACTTCCGGCGCCGATAAACAACATTAATGTTATGACCAGAGTTTCATATTTTACTGTTGAACAGTAGAAATAAAGATGGAGGCATTTGGAGGGGAGTTTTGTGACATGACTCCGCAGGAGCTGGCGGCTCCTGTCAACACTGTAGCGGTGAGTTTAGAGTTTAAAGTGAAAAATGAGGAAAAGTTTTCACACCACGAGTGCAGAGAAACTAGCATAGTGGCTAACAGCACAGCCAAACATTACACACAGTGTGGAGGAATAAACAACACACTGCGTACGTTGTTTCACTTGTATACTTGAATGTAGTGATTGGCAGTAAAGTCTCACATTTATATTTGACATCAGTGTGAAAGGTGATGAAATCATGTTTTTGTTCTCTTGACAGGAGAAGTGGAAACTGTTGCCAGCCTTCCTGAAGGTAACCTTTCAAATGCATTACACAGAAATGTCTCCTCTAAAGTCTATAAATCCTCCATCTTGTTAAATGATGTTGTTATAAATGATGAAACAGGAAACAATGACCTTCTTCAATCTAAAAGCTTTAACAAAGGGCTCAACAGTTTTATGTCAACGATTCAGTGAATCAGCTGTCGATCAATTTTAATTTTGATATACTCTTAAAAAAGAGATCCACATTATATGATGCCAAAATCATAACTGAGTACTTTACGGCATCTGTGCATCTGTTTATGTAGGATATCACAAACACATTAAACAAATCACCAAAACAGACTTTTTCCACCTCAGAAACATCGCCCGCCTCCGCCCGTCCCTCTCATTCTCAGCTGCTGAGACCCTCACCCACGCCTTCATCACCTCCAGACTAGACTACTGCAACAGTCTCCTCTATGAGTTCACCATCCAAAACACTCAAGAAACTTCAATACATTCAGAACTCCGCTGCTCGACTTCTCACACACTCCCGCACCCGAGACCACATCGCCCCCCCGTTCTTCATGACCTCCACTGGCTCCCCGTCCCCCAGCGTATCCACTTCAAACTCCTCATCCTCACCTACAAAGCCCTCCACAATCTGTCTCCCCCCTACCTCCCCCCCGTAGGATCAACCTTCGGTCCTGGGGGGACAGGGCCTTCTCCACCCTCTAGAACTCTCTCTCTAAAATCATCAGAGACTCCCCCCACACTCACTTCCTGCAAGAAATCCCTAAAAACTCACTTTTTCATCAAACTGACTCTCATCCTCTTCCCTCAACACGACTTCTATGTTGTATTGTTCTCTTAGTTTTTGCTTTGTTTTTTGTTGTTTCCTGTCAAAGCGTCTTTGAGGATCTAGAAAAGCGCGATATAAATCTAACTTTTATAATTATAATTATTCAACTGAATACATTTGGGTTGTTTTCAAAGCAAGACTATTAAAGACATCATCTTGAATCTATATTTTTCACCAGTGAAGGTTATTTTAAGGACCAGCCAACAAACTGAATAATTGAGGAAACAATTGAAAAACCGAAAATAATAATTTGCCGCTGGCCGTACTTAAGATCCTGATCATTGATAAGCAGCCTTGCCTCATAAACCCTTTAACTATAAAGAGAAAGACTCTTAAGTACCGTAACATTGTTTGCAGTCATCTCTTATATCTAGACTTTTTTTTAACCTAGTCTAAGCAGAAGCAGTTATTTCCCACCTCTTCAGACAAACATTGCAGTTTCCATGTCATTTTTTAGACCTGTTCCCTCTGTTTTCCAGGTGAAAGGATTGGTGAAGCAACACATCGACTCGTTCAACTATTTTATCAACGTGGAGGTAAAAACACAATGTGAGCGATCGTTATGATGCTTTATCTGTTTCGGCTGCATCTTAACTTCAAGACTAATGTGTTGTGTTATCCAGATTAAGAAGATAATGAAAGCAAATGAGAAGATCACAAGTGATGCAGATCCAATGTGGTACCTCAAGTAAGTCACAGACTGTGTCCTTACTGAAGTGTAATCTGACAGCTGACGCCCCATAATACATGTCGGAGCGATTTCATTGTTGTTAGAATTAGTTTTGGTATTTAGTTTACTAATATTTGGGTGTTGTTGTTTATTTAATTATTCTACATGTTTTCTTTATTTAGAAAAGATTTTGGGTAATGTTTTCTTTTGTTATTTGTTTAGTAAATTTAGTTTTGCATTAGTATTTTTGTTAGGTATTTGGGTAACTCTGTGGCACCAGAGGTTATTTAGTAAGAGGCAGGTGGAGGACCAGCATGCACCTGGGTCGGCCTATGAGAGGCAGCAGGAGACACGATTTCTTTGTTCTTTTGTTTACTTTCTTCAAATAAACCACCAAAAAAACGCAGATCTCCTGCACGGACATTGGACTTCTTTTTCCTGCGTACATCACATCCCCCATGGTGCATCAGTGGTCATTTGATTATGTTTGATATTAGTTTATTTAGATTGTTTTTGAACAAATAGCCACTACAATGCATGTTAATATTATATATGTAAATATTGTCATGTTGTCCTTTCAGATACCTCAATATCTATGTAGGCATGCCTGATGTTGAAGAAAGCTTCAATGTAACCAGACCAGTGTCTCCTCATGAGGTGAGCTTACTTTGTGGTGTAACATCTGAACATATGAACCATGGTTGTCTATGAAAAGTTACTAACAGTAATCTGTTTTTCCTATTGGGTAGAAATAATTCAGTGTTTTTTTTTTATTTGGCAGAGGAAGTCAGCTGTTGGAAAACTCTGATTATTGTCAAACATTAGAGAAAATATTGGCAATGTGGGAGTCTTCCACCAAAAGAACGACGTAATCAAAAAAAAAAAAAAAATAAATTATCTGTAAATGTTTTTATTAAACGTTGGTGTGGGAATCAGCCCTGATTTTCACTATCAGTGCATCTCTAGTTTTAGAGACTTTCAACATGATACAATTAGTAATATAGTTTGACATTAGGTGGATTGAATTACTAATGAATTATTTTCATTGAACACTCCTGAATGGATCATTTAATGTATAAGTTGAAGCCCTGATGGGTTTTAAATGGTAATAATTGTGAAATATCACAATAACAAAAAATTAGAACATCTTTTTCAAGACTTTTAATTTAATTTGTTTGTTTTCTGGGGTGCCAGCCAGGCTGTCCCTGGCACAAGTCGTAATAAATAAACAATAAGAATGAAACAGAAACTGCCACACAAGTTCCCTTCAATAAATCATTCTTGTATTAGGTAACATAAAACAAATAAACCCAACAACACAAAAATATATTACCAGCAACTCTGATCAAAGCAAAATATACAAAACAAAATAACCTCCTGTCTTCTTTTTCCCAGTGTCGTCTCAGAGACATGACGTACTCGGCGCCCATCACAGTGGACATAGAGTACACTCGTGGCAGTCAGAGAATCATCCGCAATGCTTTGCCCATCGGAAGGTATCGAAGTTAACATCCTGCCTGTTTTGAAGACTAAACTTCGCAATTTATTAACCTGGATTGAACATAAACAAAATGCTGCTCTTCTCAGCTTTTTTTAGATTCTTCAAAAAAAAAAAGTCAGAAACATATAAGAAATGTATGCAAGTCTTAATTTGTCTTTCCACAGGATGCCAATCATGCTGCGGAGCTCCAACTGTGTTCTCACAGGAAAGACACCTATGGAGTTTGCAAAACTTAATGAATGTCCTCTGGATCCAGGTATTCACAAGATTACTTTTTTTTAAACTTCATATTTATCAACATTTTCCACCCCTAACTTTCCTGTTCTCTAATTTTCTTCACAGGCGGTTATTTTATTGTGAAAGGTCAAGAGAAAGTCATTCTGATCCAAGAGCAGCTGTCCAAGAATCGAATCATTGTGGAGCAGGACAGGAAGGGTGCAGTCGGAGCCTCAGTTACCAGGTTACATTTCAGCTTCTCCCATCTGGACTTTCATATAAAAGACCAAAATCTTTAAAGCCTAACGATACCCGAACAGCTTTGTCCCAGCAGCCATCAGTGAGGTCACCACTTGTAAAAAATACAGCACCGATACTTCTGGAGCAAATTCTGTCTTATTTGTTGACTGTTTATGGATGTTTTTAATCTTTTTTTATTTTTTCTGATGGCAAATTTTAAATTGATTTTGATTGATTCATGGTTTATTATGTCCTTTGGTTTCTATTCACTCTGTTTTTTACTGAT